AAGGTTTGATGGAGATGATTGTCTTTCTGCATGGAGAGGGAAAGTACCATGCACCGATCCCGGAAACACTGCTTTCCCCCACCTGCACAGATAAAATACCAAAGGGTATTTAGAAATTCTGCTAGTAAAGAAGATTGGAAGGTAGGCAAATACAGGTCGCTCCCCCTTTTCTCTCCTCTGGGTGCTAGCATGGTAGCTAAGGACCAAACAGAAATGCATATGTAACCTGTATTAGCATTTGGATTTATAAGACATCTATGGTAACGGACAGGCTGTAACTTTAGTGATCTGGAGACAGAAGGAAAAGAACTGAAAACTCACATTCAAACTGTAATAACTATTTCCGGTGACCTTTTATGACACTGCGTTACAATATTAAGGATCTTGTGCCAATCATTAAGTGAGAGATGAACCTTGCATCCATCAATAAATTTGCAGTGTCTGAGGTAATACTTTTAAAGTAACAAAGCGAAAGTCTTCAGCTTTTGAAAGTGACCAAAAGATTTTTATCTACGAACGGAGACTTAACACTGTCATACCATTGTGACTTCATATTACAAGTTTAGCGACTTTGTTTCACTGCATCTGTGCTTCCAGAATGACCTCACTGTTGCCTATGAAATGAAAAGGTTTTGTATGTGTTAAAAGGGTGTCCTGCCATATTAGCACATTTTGACTTCATTCTGTGCCAGCGATAATGATTATGCCCAATGCACAAGTTACTAACAGCCTCTTTCCTATATAAAGAAATACAGTCCAAGCTTTTGTGATGGATCAATGGATATGTAACTTGACCCATAACTCATTTAAAGGGGAGACTTGAAATTTTAGGTCCCAAAATTCACATACTAGAAACATGTGTTTGTGGTGCTTTAAAGTGGATTCCAAATATAATTCTTGTTTGCTGCCGGCCTAAATCACAAAAGTGGGGGGGGAGGATGGGGGAACTGGTGACCCTTACAACAATAAATCTGCATGTATGCTATCATTATACAATTCTGGCAGTTTAGAGGCTAGATAGCTGAGAGGATTGTTAATGGGATTGAACGGATAATCAGATGTCATGTTCTGAGGGGGGAAACTGATCAAGATTAAGGTGGATGCTTTTCTACAATGCCATGGGGAAGAACTGGTTAGGTGCACTGTGTGCTAACTGACTTTGAAGTAGGTGGTATGGAGTACTGACAGACTGGAAGGACCAATGGCCAGCTGTCAGAGGATACCTGTAAACTAAGGGATTGAGCCTTTCAGTCTCCCAGAAGCACTGTCTTGCCTCTATTCCATATGATTCCTTATGGCTTCCTGTGGCTAGAGGCAGGCACCAACTTCTAGGAGTACTAAATGGCTGTGCCACTGAGTTCTGGTTGGCCTCCCCGGCCCCAGCCCCTTGTGGGAGAGGAAGGTACAAAAACTTTTTCCATCTTGGCCAGCACAACACCTAGGGCAACTCTGAGTGAAATGCCCATCCTAAATTGTTTTTGCATACACACTACTCTGGTCGCCTTCAAATCCCTTCTTAAGACCTGTTGTCATCATGTTGCCCACTGTAAACTGCCTAATATTAATGGCTAGGTAGGCAGCCTGCTCATGATTCACTCTGTCACTTATTCACTTTCCTAATTTAAAAACAAACTTTGAGGCCTACAAATTGTACACCTAGAGAATACAGATTGAACCTGTCTCGTCCGGCACTCTCTGGTCCAGCAATATCCATGGTCTGGCATGATGTTAGTTACCCGGAAGTCCTTATCAGTGGCATGGCCAAGTTTCCCGTGGTCCCAACAAGTTTGTTTACAGCCACCAGTCCTGTCTCTCAGTGTTCTGTGCTGTTATTTAGCTCTAGTTTACCCCTAAATGTCTTCAAAGAGCCCAGCAAGCAATGGAAGTGTTGGTAATGCTGCTAGACAATATTGACCTCCTATAGTTTGGCAAATTCTCTGGTTCAGCACTGGTCAGGTCCCAGGAGTGCCAGCCTAGAGAGGTTCAATCTGTGTGTACAAACTTGCGTCCCTATTACCTCTGTCTCACTCATCCTCACCCTGTTGTGTTTTACGCCCACCTGATTTAGACTGTAAAGTTTTTGGCATGGTGCTTGTCTTTTTTACTTTACGCTTGTACAGCTACCAGCACTACAGAACTTAGTTATTGGCTGGGGCCTCTGGATACCACTGTAATACAAATAACAAGAGTAATGAATACTTGAATGCAAGCCATAAGATCTTGATTTTGTATCTAGAACTGTTGTTAACTTAATGTGTGATCTTGGACAAATTAGGGCAGATTTTTCAAACTGTCCACATACTGTTCAATGTCTTAGTTTTAGGGTGCTACTTGAACCAAAAGGAGCTAAGCTTTCAGTGCTATAAGAGCCCTGTCTGTCACTAAGGCTATGTCTACACAGCAGCGTTATTTTGGAATAACTCACATTATTTCGAAATAATGTTGAGATAGAGGACCTCTTACTCCGACTCCTGTAACCCTCATTTTACAAGGAGAAAGGGAAGTCAAAGGAAGAACATTCTTCCTTTGACTTCTTGCTGCGTAGACAGCACCAAAAGCCAAATTAAGCTATTTCAACTTCAGCTACACAATTGACGTAGCTGAATTCAACTTTTGCCCTGCTGTGTAGACATCCCCTTCGGTTAATGATACCCAGTTCCAAGAATTAAAAACACCGTTCATGTACAAAATATTATTATTTCTCATCATTAGAGCAAATACTGTGTTCTTGTGAGTCATAACCATAAGGCTTATTTAATGTCAATGTATAGAATCATAGAATCATAGAATAATAGGACTGGAAGGGACCTCGAGAGGTCATCGAGTCCAGCCCCCCGCCCTCAAGGCAGGACCAAGCTCCGTCTACACCATTGTTACACTATCCGTGAAACAATGACACACTTAAAACAAGAGGGATGATTTGGACCAGAGGGGTGAGTTGAGTCTGTGAGATCCACAAGTAAATTGCCCTTGAAAGAAATAAACCTTCACTAAGTGAATACTGGGCCCTCAAACCTGGACAGTGTCCCTCTAGTATCTGACCTTACTAGTTTGGTTTGTTTTCCATTTGCAAATTTGGGAGTACTTGTTTCCCACAGAATATTTGTAGGAAATGAAGTAAGACTTACAGAGCACCCTGTTGCCAGACAAATACAGCATTTACTCCAGTGTGCAATACATGCCAAGTATGAGGTACTTCCGAATGAACTTCAAAAACACTGAAATGATTATTAGCTGCAGCTTCAAATATGTGAATAATGCCCTTGCTTTCTAGCAAGCTGTGGACTGGCATGAACAGGGATCGGAAGGGGGGAAAAGTAACAAGTAGATTTAGAGGATGTTGTAAAAGCATTTCCAGATCAGCAAACACAGCTCTCTTTGTCACTGCTGGTTTTCAAGGATTGTGTGGATTGCTTATAGGAGCACCTCAGATGTGCAGTGTAGCATCTAAAACAGGGACATGAAATAAGCCAGAAGCGGTTCACCAGTGTTAGCCCCTGGTGGGCCATTGGCACTTTATTTACTTGTGCCTCCACAGGAATGGCTGTTTGCAGCTTTCATTAGCCACAGATCGCTGTTCCTGGCCAATGGGCATTGCAAGAAGTGACATGGACTGGGACACTGCTTCCCGCAGCTCCCACTGTCCAGGAACGGTGATCTGCAGCCAATGGGATCTGCTGTCTCTGTGGATGGGCAAGCAAATTAAGCAAACATCTCTCTTACCTTGTCCGCCTCACACCTCTGTCTGTGGGCTGAGTGACAAAAGGCAAACTAGACAGTCATGATATTTAAATTTGGCAGGAGGACACTGCTGATATGGTGATTGGGCCTTAACAGCTGGGCCTGCCGCTGATGCTCATGCTAGCTCCTGTGCTCAAGTGCCAAAGCCAAATGCTGCTATTCTTCCTCAGGCAAAATTTTCATTGAAATCCAGGCCGAGTTCACCAGCTAGCTTGCCTGAATAACGACAGTAGGATTTGGCCCTCGGCAGGTACCGCACAGCAGTTTTATTATTGTCATTTCAATATAACGTGTTGAAAAATTTCCATCACATCCAGGTGACAGTTTATTTACTTAGGCTGCGTTTTAAGGTGTTTATTACAGTAGCCACTCTGGGGGTGGTTTGTCAGGTTGCATTGTCCATTTCTGTACACCCCCTACTTCTAGGCCAAGAATAGACCTGCTAACACTCTATAATTGTATACCTTCCATAGGTGACGGAAGGTATTTTTCAAAACATAGGTACAGCTTATGGCCGTTGTGTCTGCAGGTGCTGTAGACAACCTCAGGCAGATAGGCTGTGACATGGTTGGGGCCACAGAATGAAAGACCTGTGTGCACACTCATAATGGAAATCTTGTCTGAGCCACACAAACAACAACCACACAGGAAAACAGTTGCTGGTGTAGGTTCTGGTAGAGCCACCTTTACTTAGTGCGGCTGTTGCGAGCACTGTTTAAGTATAGCTTACTTACTTTTTGCCCAGAATGTCCATGTTGTGACCTACACAATGTCCAATTGTTTTAGTAGCCAAGAAAGTCCTACTTTAAGCCCGACTGCTACATCCACGTTAAAGTCTATTGTTTGGTACAGCTATCTCTGAAATTGTTTACATTGTTACAGATGTGCTGCGGCTGCTTAGTGCCATTTCTAATCTGCTGTTACACTTGTGCCATTAATGGAAGGTCCTTAAATCGTAAGCCTAGATAGTATTTGAAGTGTGACATTTACTATCGAGTGACTTTGGGCAGGGTTGCCTATTCATTGGCTTATGTGTTGGCTGAAGATCTAAATCAAGGGACAAATGTTGAGTGTCTTTTTATGAAACGGAAATAACAATGCACCTTTGATATTAATCTGAACATTTGTTCCACGGATATTCATAACAGCTGTTACAAAGTAAACTTTTTTCCTCGAGTCAACTAAATAGCTCTGAAGTTGTTTTGGCACTGATGAAATTTTAAACTTCTGTTGTTTCTTGTTTGTCTTGTCCTTAACAGTTCCACCAAGTAAGAAGAGTGATGACCATCCTTTTCCTTACTATGGTTATTTCATACTTCAGTTGCATGAAAGCTGCCCCTATGAAAGAAGCAAGTGTCAGAGGACAAGGCAGCTTGGCTTACCCAGGTCTTCGGACCCATGGGACTCTGGAGAGCCTAAGTGGGCCCAATACTGGTTCAAGAGGACTGACATCATTGGCAGACACTTTTGAACATGTCATAGAGGAGCTTCTAGATGAGGAACAGGATGTCCAGCCCAGTGAGGAAAACAAAGATGCAGACTTGTACACATCTCGGGTTATGCTAAGCAGTCAAGTGCCTTTGGAGCCACCATTGCTCTTTCTGCTTGAGGAGTACAAAAATTACTTGGATGCTGCAAATATGTCCATGAGGGTCCGGCGCCACTCTGACCCTGCTCGCCGTGGGGAACTGAGCGTGTGTGACAGTACTAGTGAGTGGGTAACAGCAGCAGAAAAAAAGACAGCAGTGGACATGTCTGGTGCAACGGTCACGGTCCTGGAAAAAGTTCCCGTACCCAAAGGCCAACTGAAGCAATACTTCTATGAGACCAAATGCAATCCCAAAGGTTACACGAAAGAGGGTTGCAGGGGCATAGACAAGAGGCACTGGAATTCCCAGTGCCGAACTACCCAGTCTTATGTGCGAGCTCTCACCATGGATAACAAAAAGAGAGTTGGCTGGAGGTTTATAAGAATAGACACTTCCTGTGTATGTACATTGACCATTAAAAGAGGAAGATAGTGGATTCATGTTGTATAGATTATATTGAGACAAAATTATCTATTTGTATATATACATAACAGGGTAAATTATTCAGTAAAATAATAATTTTATGGACTGCATGTATAACTGAAGTTTATACAGTACAGTGGTTCCACAATCTATTTATTGAACATATCCATGACCTGAAGGGGAACAAATGTCATTTGCGCACAACTAAAACAAATAAGTCTCTCTGCATTACATTCCTCGATAACATTGTGGTTTGTTGCCGTTGCCAAGAATTGATAACATAAAAATTTAAAAAAATAATAAAATTGCATGCTGCTTCAATTGTGAATTGATGATAAACTGTTCTCTTTCAGACAAATAATTTGAACCAAAACATTCCGTTTACATTTTACACAGTAAGTATCTTTATTCCTGTTAGTATTATATCTGTTTACTGCTTTTAACTTCTGATAGCGTTGGAATTAAAACAATGTCAAGGTGCTGTTGTCATAGTTTTACTGTTTTATTTTTTTACTTTTAAATTCCCACAAGGTTGGAAAAGGGGTAAAAGCATTATGAAACATGTGCTGGATAACACAAATTTGGTTTTTCTTTTGTATGTTGTGAAGGTGTTTGCAATATTGAATCAGGCTATTGACTAAATAAAAAAAAAAGAGGCAACTGAAAAAGAATGCTAATGTTCCGCTTCACATTGCTGAACTTCAGACTCAAGGACAGAACTTGTGTAGCTGCCTGGCTCCTTGTTTCTCTTCTTTTTTAATGACTATATTTTGAAAGAACTGCGTTTACTTATATCACATTTGTGTGTGTGTTTTTTTCTGGCAGGGGCGGGTGTTTGGAGTTTTTCTCCCCTTCCTCTCTTGGGCAGGAAATTGATTGCAATCTCTGAAATATTTCATGCCTCCCCATATGACTAATGCTTGTCATATTGAAAACATCATATAGAGTGTTGAGAGCAATTACTTAAAATTTAATAAAAGAAGTTTTGTGCTTGGATCAAACGTTTTGTTGAAGCACAATAAAATGTCACGATAATGTGGTCTGAACAGAGAACAGTAAACCCAACTCAGGGACACTACAAGATTGTACACTCGGGGCCCAGTTCAATGATGAGTTACAACACATTGGTTTGAGTGGGGCATTATGAGTGTAAATCTGCAATGAATTTGGCAACATGTGTTCAGCAGCAGAGCAATGCCATTGCCCTGCATATTGATGCATGTACTGGAGCCTAATTCTCCACTGATGACAAAGGAAATATCTAATATGCTCTATCCTTGGAGTTTCTGGGAATTATGGCACATGAGAAATTGAGAGAATTCAGGCCTGAAGGACTCCTGAAGACTGGCTCTGGAATGAGCTAAAAAGAGGGCTCTACCTCTAGCTTTTAAGTACCAAATAACTTTGGATATGTTCAAGAGATTCTAAATCTTCAGGTGCAGCACATGGCTGCTTTAATCCATTAAACAAATAGCATTATGAATAAATAAGAGGGTAAGAAAGTAGGTGTGATACTTACTGTTGGAATAACAAACACCAAATCCAGTTAGATGCGAATATCCAGTTGCAGCTGACGTCTACTAGTCCAATCGCACACAATCAGTATTTTTTAGTTAGAAACTTTAACTCAAAACAGAGATACATGATTAAATAAAGGCAAAATGTAGGTATGGACTAAGTACAGGAATTGCAGTGAATACAGTGGGAGAAACTTGCTTTCTAGAATGAGTCCAATAGTTCAGTTTTATATGAAATTCAGATAGGTAGGATAAAAAGAGATCATTGGAAAATAGTTCAGACAAGGACACTTGAATTTCACAATATTCATCCAGAATTCAATATTAGCAAAACTTTGCATCTCTATTCTAAATCCCCAGAGATCAGGCGTATTGTAAAATGTACTTTCTTCTCACAATTGATCCCTGTCTTATGTTGAACACACATAACCCACCAACAAGTAGTTGTTATCCCATAAATTAACCCAATGAGCCATGTCAGCCAGGGATTGATTAAATAAATTGTCCGTATATTAAAGGTAAACAGACTCTGGATCTTTCAGTGCAGCAGAAGAAATGAAACTCAGATTTTAGCTACTCCACCTGCTAAATGACAATTTCTTCTGCCATCCTCAATATGTTTAAGCATAGGGCCTGCTAGCAAGAGTTTGCTGCTTTAACAATGAAAATCCAAGAGGTTCGGATAGATGTCTCTCTATCCCTGTGAAGTTGCAAAATTCAGGCTTTATGGAGAGACTTCAGGCATGCTGCTCCCAGATGGGAACTACAAATAAGGTACTTACCTGAAGATCTCAGAGCTCCAGTTTGAGTTTGTTTTATGCACTGAAGGGTTGGGTGGGAGAGAATTTGATTTTGTTCAGTATTGTGTGTGTTAAATATCCTTATTTTTTATAACCCTGATAATACTGTATGAAGCAATTACAACCTCAAAAATATTTCCATACTCTTTCGATAGACAGAAGGGGTGAAAACTTGGCCTCACTGAAATCAATGGTATTTAATATGGAATTTTAATGAAAGTTTTGCCAGACGCTGGAGTTTTAGCCAAAACAGCAACTGACTCTCCTGAGGTCTAACTTTAGATATGACAATGGTTTTATTATCTCTCATTAGTGAAAATTAGTGTATAGGTCTATGGCCAATTTTTTAATGTGACAATAGAAGGCTATCTAGAATACAACAGGAATCTAATCTGAACATAGGTGTAAAATAAGAATTTCTAATTGACTTTAATAAATTTGAGAGAAGTGTCTGTGTCTTCAAACATAGTATATACTAGACAGAACATATTGATAGTGAATTTACAAAATTATCTTTCGGTTTGTCCTTTCTCAAACAAAACTGTCAGACATGGTTAGGACAGATGTGGGAACTATATGTTGCAGATTCTTAAAAATACTGTACCTTGATCTATGTCCAGATTCTTCCAGATTCTTATTCTTGAGTAATTGAAATTAATGAGTCTACTTATGGAGTGGTTTATTAAACAAAGTGGCAAAGAGTGAAGAATCTGACTTCTATTTTTCTTTAATAATTGTATATTTAAAAAAAAAATCCATAGATTCTTTTTGGGAGGAACAGGAATAGCAAATTAATCTTCTATGCAAGTATATTACTACATTACAAATTATTCCCTAAGGTGTTGATATTTATAATTTCTATAAGATGAACCAGACAATTAATTAGAGTATGTTTCCATGGCTGTCACATGCCAGGTCTAACACACACATGACCCCAGATTGGCAGTTTTGGTTGAAATGAGATTTTTATTTTAAGACACTCAGTTGAAGTCTTGCTGTGGTCTGTTTGTGGCAAAGGTATTTTATTCATGTCAGCAGGCCTATTGCTTTGTTAAAGTAAAGACTTTTGTGCAAATGTAAGTTAATGTCTGTGGACTTGTTCTCTATTATTCACGATGTGTAACAAATATTTATTGTATATTTATATAATGTTATGTTTTTTGGGGAAACATTGAAGTTGGCATTAAAACTTAATAGTATCTGCATCATATTGTAAATATAATTAAGCTATATTTAAGTGTACTAATTAATATATGTTTAAGTATAACATTTTGTATTCTTTTACAATATTTTCAATACATATCTATATACAAAAAACCTTGGGTATGGGAAGGGATAGGGACCATGTCACTTTTCCTTAATTGTAAAATGAGCTTGAGTTTTACTATGAAGATGTGTGTTCCTTGCTTTAAAACACTGTTTACTTTATTTTAGCAATAACACTTCATTTAGAGAGCTGATAGCCACCTGTTTTGTAGCTGAGACAAGATGAATGATGTAATATATTTTTACTGAACCAACTTCTCTTGGTGAAAGACAAATTTCAAGGTGATACAGAGATCCCTCTCATAACTGCGTTGGGGGGGGGTATGTCAAGATGTCATTTTCCAAAAAAACTTGAAGATTCTTTTTAGAATTATATATTTCCATTTAATTCATGAATTCCAGGACCATGAATATCTATGAATCTGGCACAGCTGATTTTATTCAGGTATGAAAAATGGTTAAAATTGAAGTAGGGTGATGGGGTTTTTATGTAATGTTAATAAATAACTGAACAAATGAGACATACATTCGATATTTATAGTTTGGTCATGTACCTGTTTTTTTGAAAATGGTACCATGTATATTTATATCCATTACATTGAACTTGTATCTGACCCCCACAGAGTTCTATTTCAGATTGGAATTTCCTCGGGTTAATATACTGTTAGCCCTTCTAAAAGGATCTGCCTCTGCTTTAACTGCCAAGCCTTTGTACGCTTAATTATACCATAGTCACAGAATGATCAATAAATCTTCATGATGAATGGAAAACTTTCAAATAAGTTACAAAAAAAAATCTTTTTAGATTCCACTGTTGCAACTTTCCCAAGAGATCAGTGCCAATAATTCCTTCACATAACCTAGTAAATTGTACTTCTGCAGATTATCAGTTATATTAAACACACATGCATATACCCTTTAGTGTTGTCTTAAAAATAAGGCTAACAAAAGCCATAACAAATATTAAAATGGTTACAGTGTGTGGAATAATATGAAAGAGCTCTTCCTGCCGTGCTTTAATCCTGTTCTTTGCAAGTGGGTCTTGGCTTTGGAACTTTTGTTTACTCTTCAGGCAAGCTGCAGTGATCATCTTTTTTTCTCTCTCTCTCTCTCCTCCTTCCAAATGCTGTTGAGGGGGTGTTGGGACTGAAGTGGATATATTTATAGGCTTATTTTGTTATTTTAACATATGGGCTAGGCAACCAGGACCTCTAGGTTCACTTTTGAAATATGACGGTGTAAATAATCCAGTTGATGAACTAGAAAAGCAGGTCTTGAGTGGCTGATGATAATAAGACTGCAGAGACTAAAATTCAGCTTTAGCAACCCTTATCCAATTTTTTCCCCTTTTTTCTAGTAAGACACAAAAGATTTATATAACTTGGAATCTTGGAGTCACAGTCAAGGGATTTTAAATTATTCAGCTAGAAAACCATGGCAAAATATGTTTTGAATTGGACCGAAATGCAAAATTAAATTGAAATGAGAAGGCTCTGACATTCATTTCATGTAGTCCCAGGTATGTTCAGTCCATTGCTTCACTGCCTACCTCTTCCAATTAATTTCTCAACAGGATGCAAATTAGCCAATAAAGTCTCATTCTATCAAGACTATTGAATTAGAAAGGAATGCACTGGTTTGGTTAAAATATAAACAGAATCAAAATCTCACACAAACCACAAACTATCTTTGAGATTTAAAAGAGTTCATTTTATTGTTTATTTTTTCAGACCCCTCCTGTTAACCAAAGAGAGAAGTGTGATAATATAGCAAAAGGAGTCTCTATAGTGGTATTTACAACAAGTCCCTAATGAGGAAGTACTGGAAGTTTCAAGAAACAGCCTGGCTTTGCTAGAGATTTAGAAAAAAATGTGTGGATTAGCACTGGGACTTTTGATTGCTTCTCTGAATCAAGCTTTGTAAAATTCATTCTTGCAGCCTGAGGTACAGGATTGTTCATGGGTGATGCTAGAAAAAACAATTCAACTCAAAGCTAAGCTTATATTTGCATTCCCAGTGTTTTGGTTTGTCATAGAAACATCATCCAGCTGCTGTAGTTTTGTATTATTAAAGGACTATACAAATCAAGGGTAAAGAATGAGTCACTAGACCTGTAACCTGAGCACTCCTCACACCTATCAACCCCCCTCCCCTCCCAAAAATAATTCAAACCACAAAAGTGTCATCTGTATTTAAAACAAACACACACACTCATTGGCAGTTTTTAAAATTTGGCTTGATTTGTTGCTCAGGTGTGGACAAAACATCAGTACAAGCAGTCCTACTAGCCAAACGCCTGCAAAGACAACCCCCAGCTGTATATGAGCACAAATTGTGCTTACTGGAGCTCTGTCTTTCAATAACCATGGCAGGGAATGCAGTATAAGAACTAAACATAAGTGAGCTGATCCAGAGCCCACTGAAGTCAAAGGAGAGACCCCCCTCCCCATTATCTTTAGTGTGGAGTCTTTAGTCTTTTGCATTGGGCCCCCAGTAACATGGATGTAACTTTCATAGCTTGATCATGGGGAAATAATCTATGGTGAGGACTAGAAACCTTCTGAGCATGCATCTACATCCAGCCAGGGAACCATACAGAGGGCCACTATCCCCTCCTCTAGAGTCCCTCACAGTACAGAACTAGACTGAACACAAGTTCCCTGCTGCCGTGGAGGTTCCCCTGTCAAGTAAAGAAGAGGATGAGTACATTCAGTATAGAGAAGAGACTCTCACAAGCAAATGCTGGCCCAGACAGTATTAAGTGATGCTGGATTTTCTATACAGCGTTATTGGGCGATGGAGACAATCTGGGGGAGGGGGAGGTGCTGCTGGCTCTCCTGTCCGCATCTCAATTTTCTCCCTCAACTAACCCTAAAGTGCAAACTCTGTAGCCACTGTGGCAGAGGAACACTTCAGCACTCCCAACCTGCACCCCACTCCCTACCAAGAGAAACAACTTCAGGCTCTACTCTGTTGCCCAAGAAAAGGGGAATCATTTGGTCTGTAATATTACATTTAAACATTACAAATCCATTTAGATTTTGCTGGTTTATGCATGTTAAAAGACAAGGGATTTCAGAGTTTGCATTGTCATCTCAGCCCTCAGATACTACAGTGACAACAGCCATATAATCACCTAGCTAAAGATAGAGTCATAGAAACAGAGCCTGTGTTTAGCATTTGGAAGAGAAAAAAAAATCATTTGTATGTGGTTACAGGAGGTAGCAGACACGCTAGTCTTATGACAAGTGCTATGCTTACAAAGCCATTGCGTTTTAAAAGTGGAAACCCCAATTAACTAACTTTAAGCCTGTAGGAATTTTAAAAGATACAGACAAGCTACATGAATAAAAATATTTACCACAGATACCTTAAAGCAATACTTCCAACTTGTCTAAGAAGGAACAATTTGCCTCCTCATTGGCTGTAAATTCCCTTTGAAGCTGATGTACCAGAGCATAAATTCCAAAACTGCTTTGGCTTATTTCATGTCAACAGTCTCTCTCTCTCTCTCTCACTCGTTATTTCTAGGTAACATAGAACTACAAATGCTGGGATTACTATTCAAAGGGCTTTAAAAGCTTTGCAGATTCTATAGACTCCTGTACAGTGAGCCCAGTAATTGTGTCACATCTGACATCAGAAAATGTTTAGGTCCATATAAAATAAGCCCTCATTTATACAGAAATCCTTCTTCTCCTCTTCTCTCTCCCCACACTCCAAATATAGACCCTTTGTAAGCAATCAGTTCTGTCTTATGTTCATGAAGAACTGAAATTTCAAAGTTAAAACTCCAGCTCATAAATGCAGACTAAACTGCATTCCCCCAGATAAATTATATTTGCTCAAATTGTCTTAGGATCCTCTCTTATTGGCATCCCCCCAATCTAGAATGACTACTTTAAATTACCCTAGAGATTTTTTTCTGACCTTTAACTAAAGAATATCTCTGTTGGGAAACATATGTTTGTTCATACCCTGGATTGTTTCATGACAATGTTACTGTACTTTGATTGTATCACAAGAACTCAGTTTAAAGATATTGTAAAGTTTGCATTGATATGAAAAAGTTACTACTGCTTACACTGCCATTTACAATTACAAAAAAAAATCCAGTGCATTTATTCTATCTCCCATTCCCTTTCACATATATTCATATCACTAACAAATGGCCAAATTACATTTTGGGGAAATATATATGAAGTATTAAATTCATGCTGGCCACGATTCTGCCAGTCTGGGTTGCTCAGGGCCTCAGGTGAGGAGAATGGCAAACCTGCAGTCTCAGTTGAGCAGCATTCTGACTCAAGTGACTGGTGAACAACTGCAAGCCTCTAGGTCTAAGGTGGGGAGAAGCTACCCCCTGCCCCCGGTGAGGTGTTGGCAGCAGGAGATAGGGGGATCCAGGCCCACCCACTCCACCAGATCCCTCCCTTGGCTCAGCAGGAGTCAATATTTGTGAGCAAATTATAAATGGCAAAACTCTAAAAGACCCTTTTGAATACTCACTTTAGCCATATGTTTTATGTGCACAAATTGATTTACATGCATCACCCCATAAGAGTTGTATGGGTAAATTTTGTACGGCAAGTTAAAAGCCTATGAGAAAATCTTGCAATTTAATTGTTTTACTCTTCAGAGATCTAGTGGAGCTTTGTGCAAAGCACAGTACAGATACAGCAGCATAAGAACAGCAATGCAGAATGCATTTCTGCTTCTTTGCTGAGCAATAGCAAAATCTGAGGTCTACATGGTCCATATTCTTTTTGAAGAAGGAATCAAGGATACAAAATAAGGTGTTTCCATAGTGTCATTTGCTTATTTACAAAAGGTTCACCTATCCTCTTTCCTTCAACAGGGATCATAACACACGGCATGTAAGCAACTCCTCTCTGGCAAAACCCTCATGTAAGATGCCATTGCTCTTTTCTAAGTAGCTGCTGGCCCTGCTCACAATTCACAGAAAATGGAGATAGCTCCAACCGCTAAAACACTTGTCTTTTTCCTCCTCCTCCTGAACTTTATAGCAGAGAAATCCCTAGTCCAAGGTTTCTACATAGAGTAGAAATGTGGCCTGGCCAAACTCTGTGCAGGTGTGTATTTACTCCACACTGGTCCTGCAGGGGTTAATTGTGTATGGCAGACTGAAGAAGCCAAACAGTCCATCGCTCCTAAGCATGCTCAGCCTGAAGACAAGGTGTAAAGAAGGAGCCCAGCTCAGTTGGGCTGGACCACTGAGCAGGATGGATACATATTGTGAATGCCTTCTATGGAACTGCAGGAACCACTGTTCACAGATGCCAGTCGTGCCAAACCCTGGGCAGACACTGGACAACCAGCAAAGACCTAAGAAGGGATTTGGACTTCACCAGCAAATAACCCTAAAGACCCAGGGGGCCCATGGACTGCTGTCCTGGGAGACCGGGTAAGAAGTAGCCCAAGAGAAATAGATTCTAGTCTGGTCATGAGACCAGAAGACTCATCAGCATGTTTTGGTGGGAGCCCTG